TGGGCGAACCGCACATTCCATGTTCAAGATTCCCATTGACGGGCTGACTTCCGAGTCGACGTGTGCAATTCCGAAGGAGAGCCAGCGTGCGGGGTTGATCCGTGCCGCAGATCTCGCCATATGGGACGAGGCAATGATGCACCACCGCTATTGCCATGAAGCCGTCGACCGCACATTTCGTGATATCTGCGGGGTCGACCGGCCGTTTGGAGGGAAGACAATGGTCTTTGGCTCAGACCCAAAGCAAACACTGCCGGTGGTGCCCAAGGGAACACAGGAGGAGATCATCGATGCTTGCCTCCAGCGGTCGTACTTGTGGGTCGGCATCGAGAAACTCACGCTGACACGTAATATGCGCCTTGATTTGGCCTTGATGCTGGTCCTGAGGAGGTTGCGTTCGGGAAATGGCTCTTGGACGTCGGCCATGGCAGGATCAACCGAAACGACGGGACTATTGAGCTGCCGTCGGAAATGGTTTGCCGACAACCGGACGAGCTCCTCGAGACCATCTATCCAGGTATCGACGGCCCAACACCGCCTCCAGATTACTTCCTTGAGCGCATGATATTGGCAGCGCGCAATGCCGATGTTTCCGGCCTCAACGAGACGGTCTTGGGCAGGATGAGGGGCGAGGAGAAAACTTTCTTCAGTGCCGACAAGATTATTACCGAGGCAGGAGCAGATGATCCCGAGGTCAACGATGCGATCCCGGTGGAATATCTTCGCTCTCTAGAAACATCCGGCCTTCCTCCTGGTGAACTCACGTTGAAACCCGGGTGTCCCCTAATTTTGCTACGTAATCTTGGTCCCGGCAGAGGGCTTTGCAACGGCACACGAATGATTGTGCGTCGGATGTCGGAGCGTATTTTGGAGGTGGAAATTCTCGGCGGTGATCCACAACGGCGAGATCGCCTTCATCCCAAGGGTCAAACTTAGCCCGACCGGCGACACCTCCAATTTCGCATTCATGATCTCGCGCCTCCAGTTCCCTGTCCGCCTCGCATTCGCAATCTCTATCAACAAGTCTCAAGGGCAGTCGGTGAAGCACGTTGGGATAGACTTGCGGATGCCGGTGTTTACTCACGGTCAATTGTATGTCGCACTTTCGAGAGCGACATCGCGGCACCGAGTCAAAATTTTGTTGCCAGAGAGATCCACTGAAAACCGAACACTCAACATAGTTTTCCCCCAGATTTTTGAGTAGTTTCAAGACGTGTATTTTGCGAGATTTCGAAGCAGTACAATAGTAGCAGATGCATAACAAGACCACATTTACCTCAGTTGTTCCGCCGACCACTACATCTCACTGAAGAAAGGGAAGAATGTGGATATGGGGGCTCCCTCTCTTTTGTTGCTCAACAATAACTGGCAGCGGCGCCGGGATCTGATTGGTTGCCTCCAAGAATCATTACTAGGACTCGGAGGCAGACGTGGATGACCGCAGAACTCACCGACCCATTCGCCGGACTCTTGGCGCTTCCGGGAGTTTCATTCGACGTGCAGTGACCACCTTCCATCTGTGCAGAGTTGATCAGGTCTGGCCGACAGGATTATTTGGACTGACGTACCGGAGCAATCGCACTCGACGAGCCAAGGGCAGCAGGGGCAGCTGGACTGCCAGTTCCGAAGGTTACGTTGCTGGTAGGGGTAGACTTGGAAGTGTTTGTGCCGGGGTCCGTCTACGCAAATTTTCAACCTTGGAGTCAAGTCGTATTTCAACGCGCGTACCGGAGAGTTGCTTGGGCCCAGAAGGCTATTCCCCGTTTCCTCGGCACTCCTCTCTTGCGAGTCCAGCGGCCGGTTGCGCTATGCAAGGAGTCAACCTTCGTGTTGCATTGTTCAGCCAAACCGTCACCGCCAGTCCACAATTTTCAACCTCTCCAGACTTGCCGTCTGAGTCTGGGCACTGCGAGTTCGATGCGCTGATGTTTTTCGAGACCATGCGACGGCGGTAAAAGTGTGCGTTGTTCGGTGGTGTTTGTTTGTTCTGTGTAGTTTTGATTTTTCTTTGAGCTTCCACACACGCAGACACCTTCCGCCAATGTCCTTGGTTACTTTTAATTGCCTCGCTGTTTTGGAAAACCCCAGGGTTCCAGATGAAGCGAAACAGCGTAGTGTTGTTGTGGATGCACAGGTTTTCTTGAACGGGTCGCTCCCTGGACTGGTTGCTTGCTTGAGATGGTACAACGAGAAAGGTTTCGAGTTCCCAGAAACCATCGGGACATACTCTCTTTGGGTCCAGGTCAGATTCGTTTCACACACCGTCCACTTCCAATTCTCATCGGTGTGCCAGGTGGCCTCAATGACGGACGCCGTTGAGCATTTTTCCGATATGCAGACCAGAGACTACCACTTTGCCGGTGATATTCTCGAGGTAATGTCCCCATCGTCCCTCTGTCAATATTATGCTCAGTCATCGTTGCAGCTCATCCACCTGGGCCCTGCTACACAAATCAACCCGTACCATCGTACTATTGTTCACCTCTGTGGCATGGTTGCTAACCCGGACGAGCACGATGGAACCTTTGAGATCAACGCCCAGCAATATATTACGGCGTTAAAGGCTCCCGGTGCGATTCGGTTCAAGGTTCTCATCCCCAACAATCCGCGTTACACGAACAAAAAGAAACCGGTCCCTGCCGTGAACTCTCGCGCCCTTGTGACTGGACGCGTTGTCGACGTCCAATGCGTGCTCGATAATGACGGGAAGCCGCGCTCGGTAACTCACTTCGTCGTTGAAATGGATACGGTTGTCTTTTTGGGATCTACGAGGGGCGCATCGGGAGAAACTCCAGTAATGAAACGTAGGTGTATTCTCCACCGAGTCGGGCAAGACTTGATCACTGAACACCTTTATGTTGCAGCGGCGTTCAAAAACGAACGTGGAACTCCCTCGCAGTTGAAGTTCAGCCTCAGCCAGCCCCAACTGCAGACCCCGAGTCCTGCCGAAGGCAAGAAGCGAAAGAGAGACGAGCCAGCCAACGACGATAAGGGGGAAGGGTCGTCGAAGCGGCAGAGTTGAGTGTGTTGACGAATGGCGGCTAGCGCGAGTAAAGTGTTCAATATTTTGGTCGAGTTTTCTATCTTGAATTCAATCTGATTACATGACACCGAGGATGCTGGTGAGACTACGATACCCCCCGTAGCATAGCACGGGTCACTGCTAGTGACCAGACAATCCCTCAAATGTCTCTTGTCGAGGGTGGTCCTGCTATGTCTTACCAGAGTGTCGTTGGATCTGCCATGTATGCCATGCTTGGGACACGTCCAGATATTGCCCACACAGTCGGAGTTCTTGGACGATTTAGTGCAAATCCCATGTTAGATTTTCGGGTGCGCGTAAGACTAAGCTGTTTTGAAGCTGTTAGGCTTAGAACGACGAGGTGAAGACACAAGAATTTCCGGTTGACTGAGGCTAGGGCAGTGCCTGGCAAACGGATGCCCTGCCCGCTACATTACGGGGGTATTTATACTACTACAGATAAGTTCTAGAATATTCTACCAAGTTCAACCATGATAAGTAAGCAATGAATAATGAGTCTCTGGAACCTCCTCCAGCAGACCAGTTGGAACTATCACAATCTCAACATCCCAAAAAGATTCATTGGGCTGCAGCCAAACGACTCCTTCGATATCTCAAAGGCACCCGGGATTGGGCACTGCACTATGATGATGGAGCTGACCTGGGCATGGACATGACCTTCTATGGTTACAGTGATGCAAACTGGAATGGAGACCGAGATACCTCCCGTTCGACCTCTGGTTATGTTTTCGTTGCAAGCCGTGGAGCCATTGGTTGGTCAAGTCGCAGACAATCCATGGTCGCACTATCCTCAACAGAGAGTGAATATATTGGCCTTGCCAATGCTGGGCAGCATTTAGCCTGGCTACGCTCATTCTTTGATGAACTTGGGCATTCACAAAACAACCCAACAGAGTTGCGATGCGACAACCGAGCTGCCATCATCCTATCTCAGGATCCGCAATATCGTGCACGGACTCAGCATATACAGCGCAAATATCACTTCGTGCGAGATGACTTGGTCCGTCATGGTGAATGTGTTGTACTCTGGTATCCAACAGAGGACATGGTAGCAGACATTTTCACAAAGACTCTACCTCACGACAAGCATTCAAAGTTTTGTCTCTCAATGGGACTACGGCCTGGGTCGAGTGGGGGTGTCAGAATATGAGTTCTTCTCCGGCGCGCCCCGGCCTACGGCCCGTGATAGCAATAGCTGTCAGATGTATAACAGTGTAGATATAAACCGTACCATCCTGTTCCTCTCCCTCAGTCTTTGATCCCACATAGCGGGAGACTGAGGGTGAGTCTCTTACTTAGTTTTCCTTTAGTTCTTTACTTATTGTGTAGTTACTGCGCTACCCACGCATTTACAGGTATTCAATATATAGTCTTTGATCCCACATAGCGGGAGACTGAGGTTACTGCGCTACCCGCGCATTTACAGATCTTGACACCGAAATGGACCCGCAAAATAGTCTTGAGCGGGACAAAAGAGAAAAAGACCCGACCTCGATTCGAACGAGGGATTCTGGCAATCGAACGTAAATCGGAGAAATCCGAACGCGTACCCAGCGTGATAGCTTTTCACCACCGGGTCATGTTGAGGAAGGGGAGCATCCTGATAGGCCAACACACGCTGTCGTGGCATGGTTGAGAGGAGAACCTCGCCAGGAGGTGGCTGAAACCGGTTCCTGGCGAGGTCCCCCGTTCAATCTGCGACGTATGCTATTTTATTTTTTGGTCCCGCGACGACCTAGCTCTGTTGTTCGCCGCCGTTCACCGTGCTCCGAGCACCGTTCGCACTGTCTTACCCTTGTAGTCAACCACCGCTATCTTGAAAACTGTTTGTTAGAATCTGATTTTTGGGCCTCCTTCTGAAACCACACTGCGTTGAGCGCTCGACCTATCTACCGAAGTGGACCCGCAAAATAGGCTTGAGCGGGACAAACAGGGGAAAACAGACCCGCAATAAAAAAGACCCGACCTCGATTCGAACGAGGGATTCTGGCGACCGAAACCGAAAGAGAGGGGAAACTCGTGACCAGCGTGATAGCTTTTCACCACCGGGTCATGCTGCGAAGGGGAGGGAATGGGAAGGATAATGGAGTGAGTCATGAAAGCGCTGCCAATGTTAAGAAGAAAAAAAGACCCGACCTCGATTCGAACGAGGGATTCTGGCGGCAGACTTCCAAGGAAGGGGGAAATTCGTGGCCAGCGTGATAGCTTTTCACCACCGGGTCATGCCAAGGAAGGGGAGGATCCTGATAGGCCGACACGCTGGTCTGCTCCTTTTCAAACTGGTTGCATGGTTGAGAGGAGGACCTCGCCAGGAGGTGGCTAAAACCGGTTCCTGGCGAGGTCACCCGTTCAATCTGCAACATGTGCTATTTTATTTTTTTGGTCCCGCGACGACCTCCAGGCGGTTTTGTTTTGTTGTTCTCTCACCGCGGCCCGGGACAGCGGTTCACCGGAACGGACGTCAACTATTTTGAGCCTCGCTGGCGTTAAATAAGTAGCTCCGACCACCGTTTGCACTCAGTCCTTTCCCGGTCTGGCTATTCACGCGTGTCTTGCCCTTGTTGAGTGAACCACCCTTCTCTTGAAAGCTGTTGGTTGGAATCTGACCTTTGGGGCTCCCTTCTGCATACACGCTGTGATGGTTCATATATGTTTCGCCCCGTCGAGAGTAGGAATGTTGAAAATACTTTCAGAAAGCCCTCGGCCTATCTACTGAAATGGACTCGCAAAATAGTCACCGCCCGGAACCCGACCTCAGCTGCGTCGAGAGTTGGGAACGCTAAAAATACTTTCGGAAGCCGTCGAGAAGTAGGAATGTTGAAAATACACGCTGTGATGGTTCATATATGTTTCGCCGCGTCGAGAGTAGGAATGTGAAAAATACTTTCAGAAAGCCCTCGACCTATCTACCAAAATGGACTCGCAAAATAGTCACCGCCCGGAACCCGACCTCAGCTGCGTTGAGAGGTTAGGAAGGTTGAATCACTTGTTTGAAAATACTTTCAGAAAGCGCTCCTCGACCTATCTATCTACCACTCGTAGCTCGTCGGGGTATCGCTTAGGTTGGCTCAGTCAGTAGTGCCGACGGACTCTCGCGACGGCCCGACGGAACTGACGTGGCAGGATTTTGGGGGTCTACGCGCTGGTGAGCTCAAATTCCCCCGTTTGCCCGCGTAGTGAGAGGGACGTTTTTCAGACGCAGGTACGACGATTCCTCCGGTATTTCACTAGAATAGTTGTATATGCACTTTTCTATTGGACTATCACCCCCCACGAGGACGATTGCGCGAAGGAAGTACACTTCAAAATCACTCAAAATCGGGATTTGTCGTTTCTGGCGCAAACAGCTCCAGTCACTAGGTGTATAAGATGCTCTAGGCGTCTTTACAGGTCGTGAATGGGGTGTTTGGGCGAGGAAATGAGTGATTCGACGATTTCGGGATTTCGATGATGGTGGTAAGAGGATCGGAATCCAGAATCACTCAATTTATATATGGGCCGGTAGCCCTCGACGAGATCTATCGATTCCCTAGTCTCTCCTAGACAGACGCTACAACACAGGGACGCTCGTTCCTCGCTGTGTTGTAGTCTGTTATTAAGCGCGGGGCTCCGATCGGGTCAGGAAGTTGTTAGGTAATCACGCGCCGCCAAAAAATAATCACGCAGGTTGAGAGTCAAATATTTCATTCGGACATCCTTTAAAAGTGGTTGCCTGTGGCTGAAACTCATTCCGTACCTGCTCAGTATTTTTTGGGGGGGTCAGGTCAACTGCAAATGAATTTTCTCCGGAATTGCTGACACATTTGATGAAAGGTCGCACGGTTCGAAACCCATGGATTTGGACTGACTCGGCACCTCTGAGGTGGCAGACCTGTCTAGGAGGCCTTGAGGGAGGCAGGCGAAGTTTCACCACCAAGAACGACGCGTATTTGAACAGGCTTGACGCGCTCAGGGTTTCAAACTCCGACGATTATCTAATAACTTTCTGACCCCATCAGAGCCCCTTGATAAAAACAGGACTATCGATTCCCCTCTTCACTTCGGCTAAAATATTCAACTTTTTTTTTGGCGCGTTTTGTTTGTCCACAACTGTAGGGCTTGTAGATCACTGATACATCAACGCTTGGCTTGGGACTCGCGAAATTCCCAGGTGTCATACTCAAGATACAGTGCATTTGGGCCGAAAACACTGTTGGTATGTGATGCAATGGTTTCCCTAATCTCCCTTCCCTTTTCCCCCCTTTTCCCTCTTTCTTGCAACTTGATTAACGCGTTTTGACCGGATCCTCAACTGACATGGGCCATGGCCCTGTAATTCTACCTACCTACCTCGGAGTTCTCGGCATCCGCACAGTCTGAATCATTTAACATCGCTGTGTGTCACGATTCGATTCCAATCTTATCGCGACAACACCTATCTCGGAGGCGCCTAATGAAGCGCCCCACAGATGAGATAACGAAGGGATTAGATATGGACTTAGATTAGATAGTTGAACACCTGGCAAACACATGGTAAAAGAACATTGCAGAACATTCCGGCACTACATGTTGCAGCAGCATGGTTTACGCACCGAGTACATACACGATTCATATTCACACGGTTCACAGAACAGTATAAGTAGAGTAGTTAGTCTCTTGTATTCCTTAGTCTTTTATTCGATTCATTTCTCGAAGTCCTGCGCATCTCACTCCCCAATCCGCTATCTCTGTATAGCCGGACGAGATAAGGCTTTGATTGTGACATAATAAAAGACTCCCCTTCGTACCACCCGTACCGTCATACCTCGCTCTCACCCCACTTCACCTTACCACCACCCACGCACTATTTGCGTAAGCATTACCATTTCACCATCTCGCGCGCTCGCGCACTCGTTCCAAACCTCCTTTCCCTTTCCTCCATTTCCGACAACCCGTATCGGACCACTATAACAGACAGACGCTGTACCACGGGAAACGTTGAGTCCGTCCCAAGTACAATAGCAGTCGTAGGGGTACTGGGCAGATCCTCGGAGAGGCCCATCCCGCTATCGCCGGGGGTGTTGTAGAAGACCCGGGATAGTTCTGTTTGCAAAAGACCGATACGGACCCCACCAACCGCTTAGTGCGGAAGAAGACCAGTCGCGCTGTTCCGCGCACCCTCTAGCACCGGCTCTTCGGAGTCATCATCGTCGTCGTCGTCTTCCTCCGCGCACCCACCACTTCCTCCTCCTCACGGCGTACCTACACATCTACCGCCTCTTCCCTTGATACTCCCCACACCTACTGCGCCACCCACTTCACCGTCCCCCGCCACACACCTTTACCACTCGTTCCCGACCCTCACCGACATGTCTCACCACGCCGCATCCCAGGGGCCAAGCCGTGCCCCATCCCCTGCGCCTAGTGTGCAGATGAACGACCCCGAACCCCTTGCTCCCACGCCGAGAATCTCATCCTCTCGGATCACCCTCGCCTCTCTCCCGCCGCACTTTGACGGGAACGACAAGTCCAAGTGGGACACTTGGAAAGATGCGCTCGGAAATTACATCTGGGCATACGAGGCGGAGTTTCGCACCCCGAAGACAAAAATTGCCTTCACGATTTCGCTGCTCGGCAGCAAGGACGGCGCGCCTAGCCCAGCTTCCAACTGGGTCCGTAATTGGCGCAAGCGAGTGCTCGACGAGGACGACGAGCTACCGGAAGGATATTCCTTCAAGGGTTTTCTGGACGACCTTGGCAGGACGTTCAGGGACCACAATGTGCGCCAGACAGCGTACATTCGCCTTACCACCACGAGGCAAGGGAAGACCGCCTTGGCGGACTTCATCCAGGCGCTCGAGTTGAACGCAGAGGAGGCGGGATACGACCCGCACGACGACTTGCACGGGCACCACAACCAGTTCCTGTGCGAGAACCTAGAGAACCTAGGTTCGCACGCAGCTCTATGCCGGGGGCGTAGAGATCCCGGAGGATTATGCCGGGATGAAGGCCAGGATGATGACGATCAGTCGCATCCTAGAGCGGCAGAAACTGCGCAAGGCGCAGCAGCCGAAGGCGGCCGGGACTCCGTTCTGGGTCCCCGCCAAACCTCCCCCACCCGCACCCAGCGGTAATTACCGGGGAACTGCGCCAAATTTGGCGAAGAAGCTCGGTCCGGGGGAAGTAGCCCCTATGGACGTGGATGCTTCGAAGTCGAAGGGGAAACCCTTCAAGTGTTACAACTGTGGCGATGAAGGCCACATGGCACGCGAGTGCCCACAGCCACGCCGGGAGCGTGGAAAGATCAATGTCCGCGCTCTGCGGACGAACGAGATGTCGAAGGAGGATTTCAAATTCCTCTTTGACCTGGCCCAGGCCATGTATGGCCAGGATTTTTAAGGAGGGCCCCGATCAAGGCCGAATCGGCGCCCCCCGCTTCTCTTCCCCTAAATAAATATGTTCCGCTTGAGGTGGAACCGACCGAGACCCGAAGTTCTTTTGTAAATTATATAAAACAGCGCACTGCTCTACGTACACAGGACCATATAGTAGTAGGAGTAGATGTAGAAAAAGACAAAAAACAAATCCGTATTTTAGAGAATCTGAATTGCATCCGTAATATTACATGTAAAAACCGTAGAATGGACGAAGTGAACAAGCGTTGGAGTTTATTTAAAAAGGCCCCTGGAACCCAAACCAGTGAGAAAAATAGTGCGGCTAAAAAGGGCGGTGCTACCGCGATGGCTCAACCCACAGTTGTGGGGGAAGCGCCAAAACAGACACGAGTCCCCTTTGGACTCAAGAAGCAGGAGGCAGACAGGTGGCTTGCACGACGCGCGATGGGTATCTCAGACAACCTATTAGCGCAGGAACTCCGGGAGTTCCAGAAGCAGCGGAAGCAGCATGAGATGCTGGTGTCAGTGGAGCTGATGTCTCTGGACACGGGGAAGACACGCCGTATCAAGGCGCTGCTGGACAACGGCTGCACTACCACGTGCATTGATCGGGCGTACGCCAAAGCAGAAAACTTTGAGCTCCGAGAGCTTGACCAGAAAATTGTCGCACGGAATGCGGACGGATCCGAGAACCTTGGAGGACGGATTACGCATTACACAGAATTAATTATGGGAGTTGGACTCCACCGGGAACGAATAAAGTTCTTGGTTACAAATCTCGGGAAGGCCCGTGTACAGTTGTGGACAAACAAAACCCGCAAATAGTCTGTAGCCTTATCTAGAATTAGTTTGGCTTCAATTTTTGTGGG